CGTGGGTGTAGGCCCGGCCACCAGGCGCTCGCCAACGAGCCCCACCTCCAGGCCTGGCTCCAGAGGGAGGCCCTCACCCGCGTCCGGGCAAGGGAAACTTAAGTCCATTTGTTTTGCTCATCATAAGGGATCTTTTGAGCTGTGCTTTGTCTGGTCCCTCACCTAGGGCCTGTTTGCCATGGGTGACCCTGCCAGGGGCATAGAGCCCCAGACAACTTAGCTCCTAGGATCATTGGGACACACAAACCCCTCCACCACGGTAAGGTGACGGCTCACGGAGGGGTGAAGCCATTTCCGTTTTTTTGAATACTAAATGAATATAAATTTTAGAAATATTTTTTGTGACAATGTGATTAATCAATTAATTGAAGAACCCCGTGAATAATTGGCTGTTTAAGAAAAATCGGTAATTGTAAATTTAAATGTGATAGTTTGTGGTTTGTATTTAACAGAAAAAAAGCGATATAAAAAGCAGTAAAGGCACTGGTTAATGAAGTGGACATACCGTGAGCAGGGACTTTCTTTTGCGTGATGACCGTTTTGCTTTCGGAATCCCCTCCTGCATCCTTGCCGCCTTGTCCATCCACTTTTTGATTGAATACACATCACTGTCAACAGGTTCTGTGCTCGTTTGTCCTTGGGGCACACCGCACACGGTGAAAGGCGGGCCGAAACAATCCAACATGTTGATTAACCTCGTTTTAAGATGGCAGCGGCCAAAATGTCCTTCCGAGCGCTCATTCTGAGTACACAACACATGGCAGGAGTATCTGATAAGATTATTTTTGGAGCCATTACAATAATGAGATCATCCTTACAATTGTCCAGACGGGGGAATCGGGACTAAAATTGGGCTGTGTGAACCAGGCTTATGGGCGTCATCAAAAGTCACCAAAACGTAATACCAAAAGTACGAATAATGTAATAGCCGACGAGAAACACCACCACGATAATTATATTGCAACCTTTCCCTGTTGGTATAAATTAACACAAGTGTTAATTGCAACTGCAACGCGTGCTGGGTGTCCCACTTCTTGAATGACATGTTGTGTAGTGACCATAACAAAAACATTGCTATTCTGTAGAAAACTCCATAGTGCGGAGATGCAGTAAATGATGTAACTAGGAGACGGAGGCAAGTTGTTTCTTTTCTCTCCACAAGAAAAGTAATTGTTTTCCGAAGAAGCAGCAAACTACTCTCCTTCAACCCATCCAAATTTATCATCCCTTCGAATCCAGAAACATGACAACACCCTCCTTTCCCTGAAAACAGGGGCGTCAAATTCATTCATGTCACGGGCCACTTTGTAGTTATGGTTTCTCTCGGCTGGATGTTATGACTGTGAACCCATATACATTAGGGTGGTCCACATTTTCATGGCAAAAAAAAAGTTTGTCGGATTCGTCGGGCCGGGTCGGAATTCTTGTCGACACTATGGTACAAGGTTCTGTGCAAAATTTCATTCCGATCTGATGATATTTTCCCGTCCCGCAAAGCGGCCAAAGTTTCCACCATAACAACTGGTCTCAGTAGGGTGAACATGTGTATTTTAACCGTGCCCTGTTTGCCATGCGTGACACTGGCTGGGCTGAATGTTGCCCGAACGATCCCCTCCTGACGAACTAACCATTCCATCGCTGCTCTCAGCAGCCGGAGACAAACTCAAACGCACGCCTAACACACAACGGTCACCTACTGGCGAGCTAATATCTTTCAATTGAAGTCGAGAATCGCCGGAATTCTTACTGGACGCTGAGCTGAGGACGCTTTTCGACATCGAAAAAAAAAAAAAAAAAGAGGTCGGAGAGGGACGACTTCACCACGGCTCGTCGGCGCGCTCGTCACCTACGGGTGGTGAACGACTTTGCGGAGAGGGGCGTCGCCCTCATCAGCGCGTTCTGCGGCGCCATTACGCGCGACGAGGAACAGCGACAGCACCTTCTGCAGGTCGTGGAGCGACACCGGGCGTTGCACCCGTGCGCGAAGTAGGCATGGGATGGCACGCACGGCGGATTTCGTTTTTTTTGCGGTCTAACAGTGTCACTAGTGTTGATGGACATTATAGACAGATGGACAGATAGACAGATGGACCAGTTAACATGGACCAACAATCTCACCAGTGTTGAAGGATAACCACGGTTGCCTTTTTTGCAATACATGCGTTCCTGTCTTCCGTCTTTGAATTATTGCAAGTGCGAACTGAGCAAAACAAAATCCTTACTGTACGGGAGAAACCGTACTACCATTCAGCCCCGTAACATTCTTTCCATAGGGGAAACTTTGGTCGCTCTGCGGGACGGGATAATATTATCCGATCGGAATAAAATTTTGCACACATCCTTGTGTCATAGTATCGACAAGATTTCCGACCCGGCCCGACGAATCCGACAAACTTTTCCAAAATGGACCACCCTAATATACATGTATGCTTGCCTTATATCATCATATGTACGCAACAAATTGATGGATTACAAGAACCCAGTGAACTATTTTATTCTTCATTTTAAAGGTGGTGTTGGGAACAAAAACCTTGTCCCATGTTTTCCTCACTATTAGGCACACTTAAAAGCATTCGATGTTATCAAAAGCCGACAGTGCGCCTGATAATCTGGTGTGCATTATATAAGGTGAGTTGTTTCCCTTTTAGTGTTCGTATGCCATCTTTTAGTAGTTATGAGCAGCACCCAATTGTAATGTAAAAGGATTCTGCACGATACCAATTCACATGTGCATTTGCCAACACACACTCGTTTGAGACAATTACTTTGTGAGCTCTGCGCAGCCATAGCCATTATGAAACAAAGATAATAGCAAAAGCATAATTAACGACTGACTAAATGAAGGAAGAAAGAGCCAAGCAAGACTTCTAAGGATATTTAACCCATTGTGGATGCGAGCCCACACGGTTGGTGTGCCTTTTTGTTGAATCAATTGTCTTCAGAACTTTTATCTTTCATTTATTGTTTTGTATTTTTGAATTGTGATTTACATGTTTCAGTTCCGTGTTTCTGACCAGTTCTCACGGGTTGCCAAGGAATAAACCCTGTATTTTTATGGACTTTGTGTCATGCTTCATGCAACATCCTGAAGGAGCTACATATGGATCAATATTCTGATTTCTTGGACACAGTATTTTAAATGTTCTGTAAAGTGCTTTGTTACAGCTGCAGTGGTTGTGAAAACTCCATATAAATAAAGTTGTATTGTATTGTATTCACTTTAGCGTAGTTCCATCTAGTGGATGCATAACGCGGCCGCGGCCACTACTGTAGCTTCTATTCTATGCTCCTTATAATGCACTGCGCTCTAATACAATACATAAAACCAGGTTTAAAATTTCATTCATTGCAGTGCACCTTCTACTCCGCTTCATAGTGTGAAAATAGGTTAATACTCGCATTTCCGTGTTGTCAAAAATGAAAACAATTTGTAAGTAACATCAAGTTAACATGCATGATTTGCCTTTGCAGGTCACATAAAATGATGTTACAGGCCGCATCTGGGCCCCGGGCCTTGTGTTTGACACAGGCACCTGAAAGCTACAGCTTCCTGGTGAATGTCTTTCCCTTGTGTGTCACCCCAAACCCTTACCCCATGAATTCACCATGAAAAAAGTGGGTAATCAAACAGGTAATCATGAACAATGTCAAGAAAAACTGTCAATGCAGTGGAGGGTGGCATAAGCAGCCAAAACGGCTGCTCTTAGCAGGTAAGGAGTCAGGGGCCAGGTGTGGGTCTGAAGTAGGTGCCTTGTCAGAGATTGAGGAGGGCTGGCGCCCCTGCCGAACAAATCTGGGCTGGTATGAACTGTGGAACTCCAGGGCTGAAAAGGAGTCCCATTCTCATGCTGCAAGTAGTGTAGCAGGGTGTTCGAGAAAAAGATGAGGTGTCTTTCTTTGGTAGTGAAACTAAATAGGAGGCTTTCTATTGCACCGACATGCAATTTTGGAAGTGAAAGATAAAATAAACAAAAAAATAACAATGTAGTTCGCAGCTGCATCTTGTTCACTTACGATTGAATCATCTGTTCTCCCCCAATAAATGCTTCTAAATATACGTGCTTTTGCATCAACTGTCCTTTTTCAAAAGTCTTTCTGAATTTGCATAAGCATGCTCCTCCGTGAGCATGCTCAGCAGGTGGTTATCACCAAGTGAACCAAAGGAGACCGTCATTTGAATGGTTGCATAGAATTAGTCAGGTGTCGGCTCTGTGGGGGGTCGCCTCTCCCGTCTCCGCCACTTTCCTTGCTAGCACAAGTGATGCGAAGTAAACAAGTGCATCTCTCTAAAGAGCCATCATGCTACCCAGATGATATTTGCTAAATGCCTAATGATTATGTGTGTCAAAATCTAAATATAGCTTGCTCCATTCAAAAATTGAATAATGCAAAGACACAATGGAGAGAATCGTGGCAGTCATTCCTGATTTTTTTTTTTTTTAGAAAATAGCATTTTTATGCACAATGGCCTAAAAAGGGCTTTGTATTATCAGTCAATGTTCCTTTCACAATGTGCAATTTCACTTTATCGAGTACGGTTTCAAAAGAACACACGAACTGGTCCACTGATTGGCCACAGAGAAAGAGGAAGTGATATGTTTTCATTCTGCAAATAAGCAGGCAGGATTTAGTCTCGTGAATCGTGACCCGAGCACAAAAATGACTTTGTTTCAAATTGCAGAACTGGAGAAATGGAGGAGTCTCTCTTCAGCCTGGAAATGATTCGGATTTGACAAGACTGACGACGGTCAACAACAACACAAAAAAAAAAAAAGATTGCCATAAACAGCAATTTGACGATACTTCTTTTCAACCACAAAACAATTGAAGGATTAGGAGACTTCACAAGCAAGACTACTGTGAAATAAAATGAAGGTAAAGCCGAGCAGCACACACAAAATGCTCACTGGGTTGAGCAAATACGCAGCGTCGCATGGACATGCATTCACAACGCAAGTAGTGTCAGCGAGATATAATGCCACATTCGCCCACACTAATCGATGCAAGCAGGTAAGTTTGCCGGATGTTCCATACGTGCTTAACCTTTAATTCTTACACGCTCGTACGCCGCACCATAGCGACATTTGCGACTGTGTCACGTGTTGGAAAATTTCAGTAATTTGTCTTATTTTTTTTGCCATGTTAATTTCCGCTGTAGGTGACCTGGTAGTCCAGTGGTTAGCGCGTTGCACTTACAGTGCAGAGGTCGTGGGTTCGATACTGGCTCTGGCCTTCCTGTGTGGAATTTGCATGTTCTCCTGCGTGGGTTATCTGCGGGTACTGCGACTCCCCCCCTCATCTTTCCAGATTTCAAAATGTAAAAAAAAAAAAAAAAACAAACATCAAACAAAACATTGATATTACAACAAGCTAGTTCTCTTAGCTTGTTTTTTGCAATTTGGTCAAGATAGAATATTAAGAGAAAACCCTTGTGTCACATCACTTACATTTTTGGGGAATTTTGATGTCTTTGATAGGTTACATCAAAGATAAAGATAACTCAAAGAACGCACTTGTTTGAATTTGAAGTGTGGTATTTGAATTTTTCCCCAACTATTATCTCATATTGGATCATGACCTTTTCAGCTAAGTTTATGACCAGTGCAGTGCTGGCAAGGGAAATTTCAGCGGAGGCTGCACAACGATTCATTTTGGATGAAAGAGAGGGGTACCTTTCAGACTCGTCGTCAGAGACATCCGAGCAATGCTCTCATGAGAATTACCTGTCAGGAGAGGACAAAAATGACGAGCAGTCTGAGGAGGAAGGAGAGGACAAAAGAGAGGACGAGGAGTCGTTGGAGGACAATGATGAAGAGTATGATCAGGAGGAGCGTGGCGGATAAAAGGTCAACAGCTTGCGGTCTGAAAATGCAAAAAAATGTGCGGTCTCCAACACACGTGGTGGCCAGACATGATATCCCCTGGCCAATTCCCACTCTGGGGCCAACAGCATACACAACTGCCAGGATCAGCAGCCCCTTCACCGTGTTCAACCTGTTTTTCCCCAACGACATCATTGAGCAGATTGTCCAAATGACAAATTTACAAGGATGCAGGGCACTCACAAGCTGGAGTGCACTGACCACACTGGAGCTCCGGGCATACCTGGGGCTGCTGATTCGAGCAGGTATGTACTGGTCCAAACATGAGGCAACCGTGAACCTTTGGGACAAGGACACGGGGCGTGCTGTTATTTCCGACACCATGTTGCACGGCAGGTTTGGCTAAATAAACAGCACCCTGCGGTTTGACGACAAGCTGTGCAGGCCACAGTGTCATTACGCAAACAAAATGTCCCCAATTGCAAACCTCGGTATGAAGTGTCGCAGCCTCCTGGCAGGGATGTACTGTATGTGTGGATGAGCAGCTGATATCCATTAGATGCAGATACAGTAGCTGCCGTATGGATGCCACTGAACATTTTGAGTTGTTGAAAAGAAAAATAATATTCAGAAATTACTTAGTTGTCACACCTCAAAGGAAGAAAACATTTGTTGTTTTGGTACAGCGAGAAGGCTATTGTATGACTTTTTTTCCTCGCCTTTGCTGAAAAAAAGGCAAACATGATGACACAAAAAGCAGAATTAGAAGCCAATCTACGAAGACACACACACACACAAACACACACACACTACATATATATCAAGTTTCGGTTCCTTTATTCACGTTCAGGTCCGAGCTAGAGGTATCAAATTTCTCAGCGCTATTGAATATATATATATATATATATTTTTTTTTCCTAGTTCACGTTTTTGAATATATTACCAGAAGAAAAAAAAAACCACATTTACGACTTGGGTCAGCTTGCTACGTATTTGACCGAAGATCGACTTTTGAAGCTACGAAACAGACCGATCGCGCACGTGCAAGCATATACACACGCACGCACGTACACACTCAGGCGCCCAACCACGCACACGTGCGCATACGCAAGCACACACGCACGCACGCCGAGTGACAGCCGGAACGTCACCGAACATGAATGGAATTGAAACACACAGACACACAAAGTTTTTTTTTCGCCCCTACTTCCTTCTCCCAACGTTCGCACGTGACTTGGGACCAGTCCGCTGGCTCTGGGTCGATCGCGATTGACGTATTGTACAACCCTGCCTTAAAATCGGAGGTAATTCGCTGACTAGCTTAGCGTTTAGCGCTGAGCACCGTTGTTTGCGCATGAGTGGTGATTCAGTTGTCATCTGATTGGTTGCCCTGTAGGTCACTCGTAAGCGCTAAGCACCGTGGTTTGCACATGAGCGGTGATTCAGTTGTCATCTGATTTGGTGCCCTGTATGTCAATCAAGTAACGGGATTGATGATAGGCTGACGTAGTAAATTCTCTGTATTTAACGCCGTTGTTTGAATGGCAGCGCCACTGCCGAGGCGTTTTCGACAGTTGTCATTTGAAAGCCCGGGAGCTGCATTGAGCCGGCCAAAGAGCCGCATGCGGCTCGCGAGCCGCGGGTTGGCCACCCCTGGTCCAATACATCACCTCATGAACTCCAAACCTCTACACTACAATAGTATAGCAGTACTTCCCAATTGATTTTTATCAACAAAAAAAAAAACTATAAATCAATAACATTGACTCACCAGAGATGCTAATGTAGAGGACCTGTCTGTGTATGTATGTTAAGCTGTCCATTCATACATAACTACTCTGAAATTGCCACCCCCAAACAATTCTGGATTGAAAACAAGCCACCCTGCAAAGCCGTGTTGGTTGAAATAGAACTCCATTTCTTCTTCAAAAGTATTACTTCAAAGGGAATTTTCAACAATGGTACGATATTGTTCTTGTAGTGGAGGGGATCTGTCCATTTCCTTATGGCCCTCCTTGGACACAGGTTCTTTTATTTCTCTATAAGGTGGAAGAAGACCCAACACCACGTCGTCTTTTCTGCAGTTTATCACAACTCAACACAAATCAATTCGAGCTTCTGAGAGTCCTCGTCAGGAAGCCAGGGAAAAATAGTCTCACGTATATATAGGGATAGTATGTTAATGAGGGGAGGGCAGTCCTTCCCCTTATGTAAAAATCAGAAACAAAGAAAGGTCAATGCAGTTCGATCTTAGCATGATGGCAAATTCCAGACCTATCCTATCCCAAGGGAAACTTGACAGCCTTGGGGGGACTTTTCAGAGATGGGCGATACGAAAGAAGACACTTGGGGGCTGTTAATCACTCAAGGGGGAATAGGATATAAACTTAAACTACATTCTTTGTTTTAACAGATGTTCAGGAAAGAGACTGGGAACAATAGTACTCATATTAAGGCTGAAATTCCTCAACATCCTCCACCGTAACCTCCCCCGTGACGTGTGTGTGTGTGTGTGTGTGTGTGTGTGTGTGTGTGTGTGTGTGTGTGTGTGTGTGTGTGTGTGTAGATAGATAGATAGCTAGATAGATAGATAGATAGATAGATAGATAGATAGATAGTCTATCCAGCTATCTCTCTATATATTTATTTACACACAGACATACATACACACACACACATGGCTGCTTTGGGGGTGGGGGCGGATGTGAATCAAAGACAAAGATGGAGGGGGAATGAATGAATGCGGACAGTGCACACTGAGCAGTGGATCTGGTTCTGTCAGCCACACTGGCTGGCATTGCTGCAGGGCAAGCAGGAGTTATGTGTGGCAGAAACAGGAACAGCAATCACCTCCACCCTCGCATTCCTGAACCCTGCGGGCACTGAGGGCATTTTTTTCAACTTGGAGAAAACCATATCCCTGCATGCATACATAAAACACTAAACCCTGATATTTCAAATCCAAAATGTATTAAACAAATATTTTATCCTGTCCTTCACCTCCAGTGTTGACCCGCTGTCCCTTGTTTGGTCATGGAAATCAGAATTCTGCATTTCAAAAAATGTCATTGTCAGTAGGAACTGTACAGGCACAGTCATAATGATGTTGCAAACTACATCTCAATCTTCCTCCCCTTCTGTCCACGCTTTGGACCTGTTGCTACAGGTAACGACCAATCATGGCTCAGCTTCAGAAAATAGGTGAGCTGTGATTGGTTATTACCTGAGCTCTTCAGGGTGATGTTAAAACATTGTTCATGTAGTCGCAGATTCAACTTTTTCTGGCTGTTAGTACGCGCCAAATGCCGCTGATGGCTATATGACGTGGTTACATCGACATTAACGCTTTATTCTCTTATTTCAAAAAGATGCAGCATTTTAATAAATAGTATAACAAAAAAAAAAAAAAAAAGAGAAAGATATGTGTTGGTTTTCTCTGCAGGCCTGTGACAGCACTGCCTGCAGCATCATCCTGGGTTTGTCCCCATTTTCCTCCGTGGCACTTGTAATTACCTCCAAAGTCGACAGAGACACTTACAGGATACCTTTGTGGTGTGTATGTGTGTCTGAAAGTGCCTGACCATTCCCATGTGAGCTGGACTGATTGTGTTTTTATGTGAAAATTTGTGCAGGTTTCAGCATCCTCTGGGGCCTGAGCACTGTGTAAATAATAATCACATTGATTACCCAAGAGTAAAAGTGCTGGTACTAAAGTTATTATGAAAGGTTCCAACCTGTGCGCAGCAGCGTGTGTGCACAGCAGAAAGCCTGGAGCTCCTGCTTAACTGTTAATTAAGGGGATCAATATTCTGGGTCACAAACAATGTTTGGCAGAGCAGGTCAAGCCACATGGATTGGATGTACCATAGGTTCAGGTTAAAGTACCGGTGATGATCGGGAGGAAATGGGATGACCGCATGACATTTATATTTATAATTATTTGACATAAGAAAAGGGGAAGACCCCCAAACTTGTCCATTCTGGACCGTGAAAGAGGCCACTGTGCCAACGCCCAAGAGGGGTGAAGCGGAACAGAGTGCTGAAAGGGAACTAATGCTTCAGCTTGTTGGCTGCCTAATTTAAAAATTGATTTTGTGAAGGTGAAGTTTCCATAACCTTGGCTTTATCTGTATACTGTGTTTGATTTTGTGCAACCCTTGGCCTCACTTTTTCACTTTTTCCATCAACTTTTGTGACAATCCAAACGGTGATTACATAACATAGAACATAATGTTAGCACAGCGTCTTGCTCTGACTGCCGTCGCCCTGCTGACCATCATCCTGTCGACCAAGCCACTCCTCAGCCTGGAAGCCCCCTTGGTCTGCCTCTCTTCCTTTTAACTGTCTTCCTGCCTCCCCAGTTCTAATCAATTTATGCCATTGCCTATGTCTTGTTCCAGTGTGGCTGTTACCGAGGTGTCTTTTTGGCCATTTATACGGGACTACTGCACATTTGCCAATGAAGGGGGCCAAGTAAAGGTCATTGATGCTCTGTTGACCCTGCCCCATCGTCTTCATCAAGTTGTTCCAAGTCTGTCCCTTTCTCACGTTGCTGTGCCAGTCTTTTCAAACCCCGGTTGCAAGTCAGTTAACCTGTTTGTCCTACATCGTCTTATCTAGTGCCTTCACACTCACCGCCCTTGTTTCTATGGCAGCATGCCGATCACGTTGATGCAACTGCGGGATCCGATCCTGCACCAGCTCTTCAGCAGCTTGAGGCCCCAGTATCAGGTCAGAGGCACATGCCCAACGATCGTCTTCCAATTCATCAGCTTCTGTACTGCACGTCCTGCAGTCGTCATTCATCTCTGCTGGTTGGCCAAGCCCTCTTACCTGGCCCCTACAAGTCTGTGATGTCTGGCATCACGACAATCTGTCTGAATTGCCTTGACATTCCACAAGCACAAACCCTGTTTCCAAAGAAGTTGATACATTGTGTCAAACAAATAAAAACAGAATATGATTCACGAATAATTTTCCAACTATATTCATGTGAAGACACTACAAAGATGATATAGTTCATGTTTAATAGGATGACTGTTTTTGTTTATTAGCAAATATACTCTCTGGCTCAATGTGCTCCAAAAATGCTGGGATAGAGGCAACAAAATCCAGGGAATGTTGAGTAATGCTCAAAAAACACCCATTTGGAACTGTCCACAGGCGAACAGGTTAACCGGAAACAGGTGAGTCTTCAATGTGAGTAAATAAGGAACATCAGTTTAACTGTTTTTAATTGTGATCTTAATTTATATACCTTATGCTGTAATTTGATCCACTTCTCTTGTAGTGTCATATCACCCTTGTTCAGGCTGGTCCTTTTGGGAGTGTGGCAAAAGTAACAAAATACATAAACAAAATGCATTGTGTCTCATGTGACATGCTGCTTATATGTGTGCTTTCTGATATATAACTGTGAAAAGACATTGGGGTTCTTTTCAAGTCTTTTCTTCAAGTCTTACAAAATATTACAAAATTAGTCGGATTCTGATAAAAACTAGATACTTTTCGCCCAAGCTGAGTCACAGATAAGCCAAGATAACTAATATATCAAATAGCACATCCACATTCTTATATTGAACAAAACAAAAAACAAAACAAACAAACAAAAAAATCCATTGTGAATGCTGAACCCTCCTGTCACGGAATTTGTTTAAATTGAAGGGTGACGGTTTTACAAGTACATGCATTAATTATAATTTGAAAACAAAAAGTAGGTCTATATTCAGACTCCTACATGATCTTTAGTACAAACATTTGCAGCTTTCTTCGGCCTCCTGAATGTGTGCGGTGACTACTTTTACACGGATGTGAACTCTTTCTTATCAACCTCCCACATTCTCTCCAAGCATGTGATGACGAGGCATAAACGAGAACATGTGGAAAAATGAATGAAAATAAAGTCAAATTAATGGCTTGAAATTAGATTCATTAAATGAGAATTAATGACTATTTCATTCAAACAGAACTTCACTTTGCTTAAGTGACTCTGTAAATTGATTGTGAACTTAATCAAATGCAGAGTCAAGAAGGCAAACATGCTATTCAAGTAATTTGAAGGAAAAACACTTGTCCGCATTTCAGAGTGAGACATGTAAATTAATTTTACACAGTGATGCGATTTCTGGAAGGTTGAAAAACATTCTTTAAAATTCTACCAAAATATCAACTCCAATTCATGTATTAAACAAGTGTACTTGACTAACAAACTTCAGCTGCTGCTCCATCTTAGCATGAGAACATTGACACACTGGAAATGTAATACAGTACTTGAAGTTTCGAGGTCTCTACATTGTTAGTGTGGTGATGAGCGTGTTGAAAAACCAGATACATGGTATGAAAGACATGAATTGGCCAGATAATCCACTCTCGGATAGTAATTTGTTCACAAGACAGCTTTCCTGTGATGCTGCACAGTGTCCTTGATGAATAAATGAAACGCAGAAAGAGAACTCTACCCCGATAGCTACGGTAAGGAAAAGGTCAATAAATAAATAAATAAATATACCAAATAATATAAATTAAAATATAAAAAATAAATAAATAAAAACAACAATATGAATCATTACTGGGTTGATGCTCAGGATGGGTACCAAGAACCGGTGCCAAACTGTTCAGTGGGCTGATTGTTTAAAAACTGCAGTATTGATAAGCTTCCCCCATAACCGTTCTGTTAACGGTCTGGAAAAATTGTGTTTTGAGGTTCTGGATAAAAATATTTAATCCGTGGACGTTCCAACATTTGGCCACTTGCTGTCGCCTGAAAATAACATCACAGTTGTTCAAAACTCAGGTAACGACCAATCATGGCTCAGCTTCAGAAAATAGGTGAGCTGTGATTGGTTATTACCTGAGCTCTTCAGGGTGATGTTAAAACATTGTTCATGTAGTCGCAGATTCAACTTTTTCTGGCTGTTAGTACGCGCCAAATGCCGCTGATGGCTATATGACGTGGTTACATCGACATTAACGCTTTATTCTCTTATTTCAAAAAGATGCAGCATTTTAATAAATAGTATAACACAGGGGTGCCCATTACGTCGATCCTGATCTACCGGTAGATCGAGGACTCGTCCCAATTAGATCCGAAAGGTGTAGAGGAGAAAAAAAAAACATTTGTGTGTCTTTGTAGAATGTTAGTAATATATTTTTTGTGTTAATGCACACTGCACCCTAATCAGTCTCACTTTCACAAAAAGTATTTAAAAAATAAAACAAAGCAGGTCATTTTTAACCTACGGTGACGTGTGACTGCGTCACCGGAAGTTGTTAGCGCTCAGCAGTCTGCAATTACAGCTTGTGGTC